CAAGGGTGTTTATTGGCTCCAGCTCCGATCGGCAGTGACGGAGACACAACATCTGGGTGGAGACACTCATTTTTGCCTCCTCTTTCAGTGCATCACAGGGGGGCTTGAAGGATTTTCACTTTTGAATTTTCTGTGACTCTTTGCCATCTCCGCCAAAAACACAGAGCTCAAATATTATTCAGTACAATCATTATAACATTGTTTGGAGGGCCACACTAAATTATTGAAACCATACAGTATCACCCTGACCTCTCTGAAGGATGGAACTGCTTCTCTTCGGCAAGCCGTCTGATGTCAGGTGGTAGTGATCATAGTTATTGCTGGTTTTAGCCAAAACAGCTCATCCTTCATATCAAACTCAGCAGTGATCTAATGCACACAAATGGCAAGTTCGGTTGTCTTTGTTGTGCCTGTTGTTTCATTTCTTTGTGTCTTGTATTTTCTTTTCTTTTTTTCTCATACCATCCCTTATCAGTAATACTAATTGATGGATGTTTGAGACAAACTGGAATCATTTCGAATTATATTACACAAATTCTCCTTCTAGCTTCTTAACGATGAGCTTGCTCACTGGTCTCTGTCAGAATGTGGTTTTGTGATAACTGGACAGCAAACTCTTTTTGTCTTAGTATCTCAGCCAGTTTAGCTGAATGTTTCAAGCTGTATGAATGATTGACCTTTTTTATCACTGTGCGGCTCATTCTAAACTACGAACAGACTTGAACAAACCAAACAGACCCTCAACCAGAAATTTTGGCAGACCGATCCCAGTTTCCCCCACTCCATGTGCTGAAGTGTCCATGGGCAAGATACTGAACAGCAACCCTGAAGAGGACCTGATGTGTCTCACTTGACAAACTCACAGTTGCTATTTTTAAAGAATAAATGCCAATTCATGCTAGCCTCCGCAAAGGGCCAACACTGTTGTGAACATTCATACTGTAGTTGTGAGTGGGTGGGTGTGTAATATGTGTGACCTTAAACAGGGACAAGAAACACACACCATGCTACACAAAAGAATCCTAACTAGAGCACTCTAATAACAAAGTAGAAAGTGTCAGTGTTAAGAAAACGCGCCTCCTCATGTTGTTTTCAGTATACCTGCCTGAATAAACTGAGAAATATATATTAGTATTCTACTGGGATTTTACCTCTTTAAAGCATTGCAAAAAAGTAGCAACGTGAAACTAACACAATTCATTCTATTCCACCTATCAGCAGAACTGAACTGAACTCAGGAGATCCTCCTGAGTCTCTCTGGAGGATGTACGTGTGAACGCAAATGTCCAAATGAGATTCCCTTGGAGAAGAACTGCAGAAAGTCCGGAGGAGCCGATGTGAGAACACAAAAAGTTCCCCCGCAGAATCCACCGCGAGGGAATGGGATTGATGGCGTGACAGATGCAAACATTTAAATGACAAAAAGAAAACAAATATCTTAAGTGGAGCCATACATGTAGAAGACACTGATGAGGAAGTCAAGAGAGTTTGTGGTGATAAGAGACGATGCTGGTGTTGATGTGCTGTAAACAAGGAAAACTGTGGAGAAAGTGTGGACCCAATATCCTCCACATGACATGATTGAAAATGGCTTTAGGCTTGTCTCTGTCATGTTTATTCACTAGCAGGTGGTAATGGAAGTCAGGGAAGATATTGTAAATGCACAATAGACAGTTTGTTAGTAACTGAGGGAAGGTGGCTGGTGAATAAACAACAGACTTGTGGGAGAATGAGGTTGAGGGGAGATAACACTGGGGTTACAGCAGGGCAGGAGGAGGTGGCTGCATCCGTAACGAGAGGAGGGTGAGTATGAGTTACTGACATGAAATGAGAATAAAGACGGATGAAACTGTTCTGGCTCTACACTCTAAAAACAGCTTATTAATGCAGTTAGTCCACACTAATGTAAGACCATAAGGAAGTATGGGCTAAGGTTCTGTGATAGGCCCTACATCCACTATTGGCCAGAATTAAGTTATGGGATAGACATAATTTATTTTGAAGACATTTAGATGGGAGGATTTCCCATGTTAGCTTGATCACTTGACTTGTGGAGAATTGTCTGTCCTGAGTCAAGGCCTTGAAGTAAAAATATTCACTTTGTGTGAGGAAATAAATAAAAGGGAAGGGTATAAAATAGCCCACAAGGAAAATGTGTCTGTGTAAACTATGCAAAACTGAAATGAAAGAAAAAGAATGAAAAATTAAGTTTGACTTCTGCTGGTGCTGCAGGATGGGGGGCAGGGAGCCTGCAGTCGGACGCAGCAGTCGACCTGTCAATGAAAAAAAAAGTCTGCAATCAATTTCAGTGAGATAAGAAAAATGGCTAATCTGTACAGATGTTTTTTTGTTTATTTGAAATTATGTATAGCGCTAGCTATGCAAATTTATTTTTGCTCTGCTCAAATTGACCCCGAAGATGAAAGATGGAAATTTGAAGCTAACCGGAGGATTAAGAGTGTCCTGTGCTCTTCACTTGATCCAACATGAAAACCATTGAAAACTGGATCAAGCATCAAGATCAAGTCACCCCATGACTTGTGTTTACTGCACAATAAAAACTAACTTGGCAAATATAAACACACAAATATTCTTCCTTTCTAACTGGTTGAGACACTCCCTCTTATTCTGTGTGCTGAAGTGTCCTTGAGCAAAACACTGAACCCCAAATTGCCTCTGATGGCTGATGCACTGTATGAATGTGTGCATCAATGGGTGAATGTAAAACTGTACTGTAAAGCACTTTGAGTTGTCATCAAGACAATAAAGCACTATATATAACTTATATATAAATACAGACCATTTATCGTTTCTGGTTTTATCACTATTATACTATTAGTATCATTGTTTTAATGAAGAAAAACCCTCATGAATCTAAATTATGAGCCTGTAGAGACAGTAGACTTCTACAGTTTTCACCAAAGATGTCTGAGGTCATTTAACCTTGAAGTTGTGGTCACTTCGGTGTTACTGTATCTAACAACAATGTCGCTGTGTGAAGCCAACCAACTGAACATTTCATCAGTGTTCATTTCTGTGAAGTATGTCCGTACATGTGCGTCAGCTGTGTTTCATCGGTCCCTAGGGCTTCATGCACGAGGTCATGACAGAGGTGTCACTGAATTATTAGCAGTGGTCGTTGACAGGATGTCAAACACATGCAGCTTGAACAGCCCACACTGTATGTACAGCACATCTAAAGCCTGGTGGAGACAAGTGTTAATTCACAGGTTAACACTCAACCACTTATCCCTGCTCTCAATAAGGAAGGAGTGATCTGGAAACCAATTCGCACCTGGTGACAGGAAGATCTGCCACAACTACAGACAGAGTAGTTGGTGCAAATAAATCCAAATATTATCATGAAGATGTGGTTTTGCTGCAGCATTGCACTAATGCATAATAGTATTATGGAATAGAGTTTGATATCTAAGGGACATTTCAAATAACCCCCGCTGTGGGAGATTACTGAGAAATCCAGACCGTTCTTGGTACCTACAGAAGGAGCATGACTAAAGCAGCTGAGGGCCTTTAAATAGAATAGCAAATCAGACCAGTGACATGGGATGGATGCAGCTGTTTGCCACCAAGCATAGAAAAGAGCATCCTACCTGAATTTATCTTTTTATCAGGAATTACTTATGTCATTATCATCAAATGACCATTGTTTTAAATAAAAGTGGCAGTGGGTCTGGAGGTAGTGGGGTCATCCACTGACCAGCAGGTCTGCAGTACATTCCCATTCTCCCCCATTCCACGTGATGAAATGTGCTTGGGGAAGATTATGAAACCCCCATCTGCTCAACATAGCTGGGCTGAGTGCACAATTAATAGAATAGAACTATATTGTTCACTTTGGTGGACAATTATTATCAATAAACAAGTGACAACATACGGACAGAAAATCATAAAAACAAGCTACAGTATAAAACAACAAAAACATCAGTTAGCAAATGGCTTAACTTCCACAGTCATATGGAATGGGGGACACTGGGATTGAACCGCTACCTAGTGGACAACCCACTCTCCCTCCTGAGCCACAGCCACCCAAATACAAGATGACTAAGGGCAGAAAATGACATTAAACGTGAATCACTGTCATCAGTTGGATGTATGATACATCGTAGCTTCAGAGGTTGACTCAAGTTGCGTTCAATGTCAAAGAAAATGGAGATCTTAAAAAAATTGGATCTGGAAACAACACATTTTGTCACATTGATTTTTTTTCTTTCAACATTCTGTGACCACTTACCGTATACTGAAATAGAAGATGACAGTGGTTTCTCCCATTGTTTCCTATTAACAAACCTGCTGTTTAAGGCTGCATGAGATTCTTTTTTCATTCCAAAATATTTTCCTTACCCTAACAACAGTTGCACAGACAACACGTACTGTTGTGATAAGTGAGCAGTCACCAGATTAACGCCTACATTTAAAATGAATGTGCACTTGATAAAAATTAAACTTGGATTCATATTTTTGGCCTTGGTAGCAATAAAAAACGAAATACCTCTCTTATTATGACATGCTCGTGTTTGCTCCTCCTCACAGGCGAGAACTGGAATCTGATTTCTGTCCACGATCAGTCGTCACTTGGTAAAAGAATTTAGCACATGAGATGATAAAAAAAAGTTTGGTAGAATTAGAGATAGAGAGTTTATGCTTGAGTGAGTCACAGGCCAGTTATGCTGGAGAAATGTTCCTGGCTCTGCTCCCGAAAAGTCACATTATTTGGATACAAACAAGCAGAGAGGGCGGCCAGACATCATGAGAGCCAGAGAGGCCTGTCACAAGAGATGAAAGTGATGGTGATTACCAGTGTGTGTGTGTGTGAGGGTTTAATGGCATGTGTGGCAGTCGTGTACCTGTTCATGTGTGTGTTTGTGTATGTGTGTGTTAGTTATCAGGTCAGGGTGGTGCCCTTGGCCTTGTAAGGCAGGGTTATCTAGGGTTATATATTTGATCTGTGCTGCCCTGCAGGTCAGTAGCTGCTTCTTCTTCTTCCTCACCTGGCTGCTGTAAGTCTAAATAAATAATTGTATTTGAATTCACAGATGCTGTTTTTCACAATTTGTCTTTCTATTGCCTGAACTAAAGGTAAACTTTTTTCAGAATGATCTAATTTAAAGGAATAGAGGTGATGAGTAATGCAGAATTGACATTTAACAAAATATGCCTTTGCTAGTTATACTTAAACATTTGTCCTAACTAAGTTGGACAAATAATTTTTAAATGACATCTGTTATTTCTACTCATGTTGATGTGCGTCAGCTACTAATGTCGTACTTATATTTCTCTGTGCAGGTGGTACACTGGTAGATTCTCTAAAGCCTGAGCTCACCTCTCATCTGAGTTGAACCTATAGGTAAAACATTTTGTCTCCTCAGGATTTCATATTCGAGAGACTGACGAAATATGATTTTTTGGTTCGGTAGTTCAATTTATGCACATACGATCTTTTGGATCTTTAAAAATTCTTCAGGTAAAAATTCAAATGTAGAGGAATTGAAAAAAAGAGAACATAATTAGATCCTTTAAACCAGTAGTTGGACAATATGACATTACAGATTTGATGGTGTCCGATAGAGACAGGATGAAGCCCTCATCTTCTCTGCTGACTGTGTGTACTTTAGTGCAGTCATGGGGGATGCAGAGATGTCTGTGTTTGGGGCCGCAGCCTCGTACCTGAGGAAGTCGGATAGGGAGCGAATGGAGGCCTCCACGCGTATCTTCGACATAAAGAAGGAATGCTTTGTCCCAGATCAAGTGGAAGAGTTTGTGAAGGCAACCATCACCAGCCGAGATGGAGACAAGGTCACTGTGGAGACCCAGAATGGGAAGGTCAGTGGTTATATTTTGGCATTCAGTTTTTAATATTGACAACACATCATTTGCTTTATCATACTTGAAACCATGGACAAAGCTTTTGAATCTGTAGAGATGAAGGTTATGTCAGATCGATGTTTGAGTATGAATCCATGTTCGAGTCCTTGTCTGGGAGCAAGTGTGAATCTTGGTGTAAATCTATGTGATTTCAACTGTCAATCACAGAGTGAGTGTGAATGGGATTTAAAGTGAGACCCTGTGTGAAGCTGCAATTAAAGTGTCTCTCGTCTCTACACTGAGCAACTGAGTGATGAATCGAGGTATCGCAATGTATGGCATGATTTGTAATGCTACACTCGCAATGCTGACAGTAATAATGTTGCCTGAATGTCTCACTCATTAGAACAACATTTCTATGTGAAAATTGTTTGACAGTCACATATTAATCAGAAAACTGCATCTTCTCCTCAGACTGTGATTGTCAAGGACTCTCAGATTCTGCAACAGAATCCTCCAAAGTTTGACAAGATCGAGGACATGGCCATGCTGACCTTCCTCCACGAACCAGCCGTGCTGTTTAACCTCAAAGAGCGTTATGCAGCATGGATGATCTATGTGAGTAGAACAAGCCGGTAAACATTAAACTCTACTGTGTGCTACTCTAAGCTTGGTGCCCAAACTACTAAAGTGTAAATGTGATAAAACATTTATTTCACACTCACAGAAACTTTTATTTGTGCATGTGTGGGAGTACTCGGCCCACTCCGGGAAAATACAGGAGGAGAGAATGGTGTTTTCACAAAGTCTTTTATTATTTTTGACAAGCCTTCCCAGGCGAACACATCCACTTCCTATATCGAGCCTTTTCACATCCACTTGGGTCTCAGGATCCACACACGTACGGGCGTCTGCTCCGGCTTCAGAACCCCAGCCCACTGCAAGAGACCAGAACCAGGTTACCAGCATTCTCTTATTGATTGCCTGATTACCTGATTCTGCACAGCTGTCCGATCACCGGCCGTGCCACTCCTCCCTGTCGTCCAGAAGTTGGCGCCCTAATCACACCCCGCTGCCACAGCATGTTTTAGATGAATATTGTTTCACTGAATATATATTATAAATAAAAATAATGGACAGGACATAAAGTAGAACTTCCTTTGGGGGTTGGAGAGCGGAGGAAAATCAAAGCTTTCTAAAGTTTAGAGGTAAAGGGTTTAAAGGTATAAAGGTTTAGTCCAAAAAAAGGTAAAGAACTGATGCCAAAATGGTGATGATGTTAAAATGACTGTTTTTGTCAGACCTACTCTGGGCTGTTCTGTGTGACTGTCAACCCCTACAAGTGGCTGCCAGTCTACAACCAGGAAGTGGTTATTGCCTACAGAGGAAAGAAGAGGAGTGAAGCTCCTCCTCATATCTTCTCCATCTCTGACAATGCCTACCAGTACATGCTGTCAGGTACAAACTGATAAGACTATGTTATATGCTTTTTTGAGTAACATTCATTACATGTAAACATAATCAAACCTGACACTGACAAAGTTGTACTCTTGTGTTTGTAGATCGTGAGAACCAGTCAATTCTGATTACGTAAGCACTTAAAAACTCTATACTGTAACACTATATGCTCTGAAATAACTCTACATAATAATAATCATTCTACATTGTGCCACTGTATTGGTTATTCACTTTGCATTTGTAGTGGAGAATCTGGTGCAGGAAAGACTGTCAACACGAAGAGAGTCATCCAGTATTTTGCAAGCATTGCAGCTGGAGGCAGTAAGAAGGAGATTGCCAAAGACAAGGTGAATAATTACCTCTGATGGTTGTGCATTCCTGTTTTTATTACCACTTACACTGTAATTACTCTATTTGTAGTTGCAGAGGCTCTTCAATCTTTCACAAACCAGACAAATATCACTCGGTGACATTAGAGGCAGCTACAGTCTCTATGTGTAAGTAATGACAGATTGAACATACACAATTTCCCTCTGTGTCAGGGTACCCTGGAGGATCAAATCATTCAGGCTAATCCAGCTCTGGAGGCCTTTGGTAACGCAAAAACCATCAGGAATGACAACTCCTCTAGATTTGTGAGTGTCTGATCATTTTGTGATTGTATTGTCAATATTATGTATTCAGTTCCCATAAAAACACAATCAGCAACATAAGCAGGTATCAAGATATATTTATTGATACACACTTTATCCTTTCAGGGTAAATTCATCAGAATTCATTTTGACACCAGGGGAAAGTTAGCCTCCGCTGATATCGAAACATGTAAGA